TCGGCAGTACAAATAGAGATTTTAAAAGATTTTCAAAATATTGATTTTGAATGGATGTTAGCCATGCTAAAGTACCCATCTTTGATGAATGGTTTAGGGGAAAAAAGGCAATTTTCTAACAAAAATTGTAGCACTTTGTGTGTGAGTTATCTTTTAAAATTTCGTTCCAAGTAGGAACTTGATTCTGAAAAGAGTTTGGATAGAGGTGAAAAAATAGAGATTTTAAAAGATTTTCAAAATATTGATTTTGAATGGATGTTAGCCATGCTAAAGTACCCATCTTTGATGAATGGTTTAGGGGAAAAAAGGCAATTTTCTAACAAAAATTGTAGCACTTTGTGTGTGAGTTATCTTTTAAAATTTCGTTCCAAGTAGGAACTTGATTCTGAAAAGAGTTTGGATAGAGGTGAAAACAGAGACTCTGGATACTGTGAGATAGCGTCTGTGGAAACACGGCTAGTTCTCTAGAATAAGAAATGCAACCTTAATTGAAAAGCCTTTTGCGGAAGCAGTTGTGGACCCAAATGATTTCAAAAACATTTTAAATCTTTACTTGATTCAGAAGATTGATTAAGTACATGCAAAGCATCTATAAGAGCATACTGGAGGGAAAACCTGTTTATCTCTACTTGATTACTGTAAGTTATTTACTTATCTTTACATGCTTATGCTTTAATTATCTTTGATGAGCAATTCACAAGCATCCACTTCTACTGTTAATAATGATAAAAATCTCATTTTATTTTTAGATGAAGAAGATGTTTCTTTTCTGCTTAAATTAGATGTAAAATCTGATGTTATATTCCCTATTGGTAAAGAAAAAATTGAAGAAATATATAGAGATATAGATTATAGTTGTAAGAATAATATAGGATTTGATTCTGTGAGAACTTATAGAGAAATAAGAAAAGTAGAAGATATTATAACTAAACATACGGATATACAAGAAGAAATCTCAAAAGGATTATTTAAAGGATATATAACCAAGAAACGTCAACCTATAATCTTTGAAGAATTATTAAAATATAAAGAATATTTAAAAATATTCAAAAGATTGAAAAATATAAATATAGGACCTGATTGACAATTTCTTAAAGATATAAGATAGATCTTGTAAATAATTTCATTAAAGGCAATATAGTACTTTTAATAAGAAAGGCTATTGTGAAATATAGGAAGAATCTACTAGCCATTCTCAAAGTTGCCCCATAATTTTTTGGCAAGTGGTATGCCTCATTTTTATTTTTAGTTTTTCCATTTCCCCCCAGGAATGGGTGGGTTTTGTACTAGGTAGCTTGCATTTTGGACTAGTGGAAAAAGTCCTTGCACGATTGATTTTGTCTGGTCATGTTTCTATGTTTTATATAATATAATGTCTTTTTACCTTTCACATTCCTAATATCTATGGCAGAGATCATATTAATGTGTTAATGCAGAGTTGATTAATGTTGGACAAAAGCAAGAGGCCCTTGAAGCTCTTCATAGTTTTATTACTTCAATGAGGTACAAAGCATGGACAAGGACGCACGAGAAGATACTGTTCAAGTATGTGGACCTATGTGTTGACATGAGAATGGAAAGGCATGCTAAGGATGGTCTTATTATCCGCCAACAAGTTAACATCAATTCCCTGAAGGAGGTGATAAAACATTTCTTGCAGTTGACCACTGAAAGAGCTGAGCTTGCACGTAGTCAAGCACAAGCCTTAGAAGAAGCTCTGGATGTGGATGATTTAGAAGCTAATAAGAGACCTGAAGATCTCATGTTGAGTTATGTTAGTGGGAAGAAAGGAAAAGACAAATCTGACCGCGATCTTGTAATGCCATGATTTAAGTTTTATTGGGAGACATACAGAAGCATACTGGAAATTTTACGCAACAACTCAAGATTGGAGGCTCTGTATGCTGCAAGCCTTTTTTGTAGGGATGGCAGTGGGGCGGGTTCGGGGCGGGCCACTCTCGCCCTGCCCCACCCGTGACCGCCCCGCCTCAAATGGGTCAGGGCGGGGCGAGGCGAGGCCACACCCCATTTGTCGTCCCGTTTATTTTTTTTTCGTTTTTTTTTATTTTTACATTTTTTAAATTTCAAATTATATTATTATTAGAGAATAAAATATAAATTAAAAATTTTAAAATTCAAAGTAAACACTTCAAATAAACAATGTTAAAAATTAAACAATTTCAAATAAAATTACGTTTTGATTAAATTTTATTTCTTTTGTAATTAATTAAAATTTTACATTTCTATTTTATTATCTAATAATAATATAACTTGAAATTAAAAAAAAAAATCACGGGGCCCCGCCCCGCGACTGGACGCCCCATCCTGCCCCGCCACGCCAACCCATCGTGGAGGGTTTTTTTGCTATCACTACTTTTTTGCTTTTCCTTTTAGTACAAAATTTAACTTTTGGCACACATCCAAGATTTTAAACCTACAACTGGGACTTCTCATTGTTACATTGTAGCATTCAGGAATTCCTGAAGCTAGTTTTCCAGCATCGTGTGGCTATTTAATGGTTTTAGTAATTTGATGAGAAGAAAATTAATGAGGCTGATAGGGTGGTTTTACTTAGTACTTAGTTTGTGGGATTTTTTTTTTTTTTTTTTTTTTTG